CCCCAAAACCCCAAAACCCCAAAACCCCTTGTATGTGAATTTTTAAGATCGACTGTTTATTGAAAGAGTAAAAATTATAAAATTCAATTGTTCAAAATTAGATATCTTAATATCACACATTAAAAGATAAGGTTTGTAATTATATTTTGAACTTTAAATTGAGAAAATCTTCAATCATTAGAGCTATTTTGACCTATACGGAAGAAAAACTAGTCCCTTCAATCTTGAAACTCCTTAAAAAGTTATAATTGATACTGACCCTGGAGGTGATGATGCACAAGCAATTGTACTTGCATTTCATTTGGCTAAGAAATATAAAACTTAAATTTTAGGTATAACTCTGATTGCTGGAAACGGTACATTAGATGAAGTAACATACAATGCTTAATTAATCTGTGATTACTGTGATGAACCTGAGATTCCAATTTTTAGAGGATGTGACGAATTCACTTCCCCAAATGATTACGTTGACAAACATTATGGTGTTGATGGCTTTGGAGGTTTTCAAATAGAAAATAAGGAAAAGATATAACTGAATAATGTGAAAGAACAGCATGGTGTTGACTTCATTATTGAGTAGGTAAACAAGTATCCTAATTAAGTCACTCTTTTATGCTTAGCTCCACTAACAAATATATGTAAAGCTTTTAGAAAAGATCCCTCTCTACCAGATAAAGTAAAAAGCATCGTGTTCTCTGGTGGCACTTATTTGGCATAGGGCAACACTAAGTGCTGTTGTTCTGAGTTTAATGTTATTATGGATCCATAAGCAGCTGAAGAGGTCTTCTAGTAATGCTAAAGAGTCACAATGGTTCCAATTGAAATAGTTAGATCTTTTAGGCAAGTTTCTTAAGAGTATGTAAGAGTACCATTCTCCTATAGAACTAAAAAAGGGTCATTAGTTTACGAGTGTTATAAAGTGGCGCTAAAAAATTCAGACAATATTTATGATATTACGGATCCATGTGCAGTAGCTGTTGCATTTTGTCCTGAAGTAGTATAAGAGTACTATGAAAAATCTCTTTTTGTAGAAGTAACAGGTAAATTCACAAAAGGCATGGTTGTTGTAGACTGGAGAGACACTTGCTTTGAAAAAAGACATCACTCGAATATTATCGCAAAAGTTGATTTACATAGGATATTAGAAATATTAGAGGATTCTGTCAAAGAATGAAACATAAGTATCTGATCAATATAAAAGCTTTTAATCCATTAATAATTTTTCTTCAACTTATTAATAAATAATAGTCATTTAGGGGTTTTGGGGTTTTGGGG